GGTCCCAGATTTCGGGGTCCCCCCCATTTTTGGGGTCTCTCTCCCCATTTTTGGGGTCCTCGATGTTCTGGGGGGTCTTCAGTGTCCAGGGGGGGTCTCTGATGCCCCAACTTTGGGGGGTCCTCGATGTCCCGGAGGTTCCAGATTTCTGGGTCCCCCCCATTTTTGGGGTCTCTCTCCCCATTTTTGGGGTCCTCGATGTCCTGGGAGGGTCTCCGATGTCCGGGGGGGGTCTCTGATGTCCCAAATTTGGGGGGTCTCCGATGTCCTGGGGGGTCTCAGATTTCGGGGTCCCCCCCATTTCGGGCTCCCAGATTTTGGGGTCCCCCCCATTTTTGGGGTCCTCGATGTCCTGGGGGGGGTCTCTGATGCCCCAAATTTGGGGGGTCTCCGATGTCCTGAGGGGTCCCAGATTTCGGGGTCCCCCCCATTTTCGAGGTCCCAGATTTTGGCGTCCCCCCCATTTTTGGGGTCCTCGATGTCCGGGGGGGTCTCTGATGCCCCAACTTTGGGGGGTCCTCGATGTCCCAGAGGTTCCAGATTTCGGGGTCCCCCCCATTTTCGAGGTCCCAGATTTTGGGGTCCCCCCCATTTCGGGCTCCCGGATTTGGGGGTGCCCCCCATTTTTGGGGTCTCTCTCCCCATTTTTGGGGTCCTCGATGTTCTGGGGGGTCTTCAGTGTCCAGGGGGGGTCTCTGATGCCCCAAATTTGGGGGGTCCTCGATGTCCCGGAGGTCCCAAATTTCGGGGTCCCCCCCATTTTGAGGTCCCAAATTTCGGGGTCCCCCCCATTTCCGAGGTCCCAAATTTCGGGGTCCCCCCCATTTCGGGCTCCCGGATTTGGGGGTGCCCCTCCCCGTTTTGGGGGGTCCCTCAGGGGTCCAGGAGCACCTCGAGGCCCCAGCGGGGGCCCCGTTCGGGGGGGACCCCCCGGGGGAGGTGGGTGAGGCGCCCGGGGTGCAGCAGAGCCCACCCGGGGGGCGGGGCCGGGACCCCGCACTCGTAACGGGGGAAGTGCCACCCCCCGGCCTGTGGGAGAGAGGAACAGACCAGTCAGAACCAGTATAAACCAGTATAGACCAGTATAAACCAGTATAAACCAGCATAAATCAATATAGACCAGTATGGACCAGTATGAACCAGTATGGACCAGTATAGACCAGTATAGACTAGTATAGACCAGTAACACACTCCCTGCCCAGCTGGAGAGAGACACCAGTTAAAACCAGTTAAAACCAGTTAAAACCAGTATGAACCAGTATAGAGCAGTATAAACTAGTATAGACCAGTATAAGCCAGTACAAAGCAGTATAGACCAGTATAGACCAGTATGGACCAGTAACACACCCCCAGTGCCACCCCCCGGCCTGTGGGAGAGACACAGGGACCAGTCAGAACCAGTATAAACCAGTATAGACCAGTTAAAACCAGTATAGACCAGTATAGACCAGTATAGACCAATATGGACCAGTACGAGCCAGTATGGACCAGTAACACATCCCCCCCAGTAATGGGGGAAGTGCCACCCCCCGGCCTGTGGGAGAGAGGAACAGACCAGTCAGAACCAGTATAAACCAGTATAAACCAGTATAAACCAGCATAAACCAGCATAAATCAATATAGACCAGTATGGACCAGTATGGACCAGTAACACATCCCCCCCCAGTAACGGGGGAAGTGCCACCCCCCGGCCTGTGGGAGAGAGGAACAGACCAGTCAGAACCAGTATAAACCAGTATAAACCAGTATAAACCAGCATAAACCAGCATAAATCAATATAGACCAGTATAGACCAGTATGGACCAGTATGGACCAGTAACACATCCCCCCCCGGTAATGGGGGAAGTGCCACCCCCCGGCCTGTGGGAGAGACACACGGACCAGTCAGAACCAGTTCAAACCAGTATAGACCAGTTAAAACCAGTATAAATCAATATAGACCAGTATGGACCAGTATAGACCAGTAACACATCCCCCCCCGGTAACGGGGGAAGTGCCACCCCCCGGCCTGTGGGAGAGACACAGGGACCAGTCAGAACCAGTATAAACCAGTATAAACCAGCATAAATCAATATAGACCAATATAGACCAGTATGGACCAGTATGGACCAGTAACACACCCCCAGTGCCACCCCCCGGCCTGTGGGAGAGAGGAACAGACCAGTCAGAACCAGTATAAACCAGTATAAACCAGTTAAAACCAGTATAGACCAGTATAGACCAGTATAGACCAATATGGACCAGTACGAGCCAGTATAGACCAGTAACACATCCCCCCCCAGTAACGGGGGAAGTGCCACCCCCCGGCCTGTGGGAGAGACACGGGGACCAATTAGAACCAGTATAAACCAGTATAGACCAGTTAAAACCAGTATAAACCAGTATAGACAAGTTAAAACCAGTATAAATCAATATAGACCAGTATGGACCAGTATAGACCAGTAACACATCCCCCCCCCGGTAACGGGGGAAGTGCCACCCCCCGGCCTGTGGGAGAGACACACGGACCAGTTAGAACCAGTTCAAACCAGTACAAACCAGTTAAAACCAGTATAGACCAGTATAGACCACTATAGACCAGTATGGACCAGTATGGACCAGTATAAAGCACTATACACCAGTATAGACCAGTAACACACCCCTCACTCTGCAGGAAAGAGACACCAGTTAAAACCAATATAGACCAGTTAAAACCAGTTTAAACCAGTATAAACCAGTATAGACCAGTATAGACCAGTATGGACCAGTATAGACCAGTAACACCCCCCCCGGTAACGGGGGAAGTGCCACCCCCCGGCCTGTGGGAGACACCAGTTAAAACCAGTTCAGCCCAGTTCAGCCCAGTACAGACCACTTCACACCAGTTCAGAGCAGTTCAAACCAGTACAGACCAGTTCAGACCAGTACAGGTCAGTACAGACCAGTAACACCAATTCAGACCAATATAAACCAGTACAGACTGGTGTCCCTCCCAGTCCCCTCCCAGTCCATCCCAATCCCCTCCCAGTCCCTCCCAGTCCCCTCCCAGTCCCTCCCAGTCCCTTCCAGTTCCCTCCCAGTCCCCTCCCAGTCCATCCCAATCCCCTCCCAGTCCCTCCCAGTCCCCTCCCAGTCTCCTCCCAGTCCCTCCCAGTTCCCCCCAGTCCCCTCCCCGGTTCCCCCCAATCCCTCCAGTCCCCCCCAGTCTCCTCCCCGTCTGCCTCCCGTCCCCCAGTCCTCCCAGTTCCCCCCCAGTCCCTCCCAGTCCCCCCACAGTCCCTCCCAGTCCCTCCCAGTCCCTCCAAATCCCCCCAGTCCCTCCCAGTCCCCCCCCATCCCTCCCAGGTCCCCTCCCAGTCCCTCCCAGTCCCTCCCATTTCCCTCCCAGTCTCCCCCAGGTCCTCCCAGTCCCTCCCAGTCCTCCCAGTCCCCTCCCAGTCCCTCCCAGTCTCCTCCCAGTCCCTCCCAGTCCCTCCCAGTCCCTCCCAGTCCCCCCCAGTCCCTCCCAGTCCCTCCCAGTTCCCTCCCAATCCCCCCCAATCCCCTCCCAGTCCCTCCCAGTGCCCCCAGTTCGGTACCTGGGCGTGGCTCAGGCTCACACTGAGGCTGATGGTGGCCGAGGGGCGGGGCGGGGCCGTGGGGGCGGGGCCAGACGGGGCGTGGCCGGCGGGGGCGGGGTCGTAACGAACCACCGAGCTCAGGACGGTCCGGCCCTGGGGGGGGGGAGGGGAAAGGGGGCGGGGCTTGTAGAGGGAGGACACGCCCCCACAGAGCCCCATCCAAACCACACCCACTCAAACCCCACCCACTCAAGCCCCACCCACTCTATTAAGCCCCACCCATTCAATAAGACCCCACCCCCAATGAAACCACGCCCACTCATCAAGCCCCGCCCACTCCATTAAGCCCCACCCACTCCATAAGACCCCACCCCTCAATGTAACCACACCCACTCAAGCCCCACCCACTCAATAAGACCACACCTCTAAATGAAACCACACCCACTCATCAAGCCCCGCCCACTCCATTAAGCCCCACCCACTCCATAAGACCCCACCCCTCAATGAAACCACGCCCACTCATCAAGCCCCGCCCACTCCTCAAAGCCACTCCCAAATGGAACTCCGCCCACTCATCAAGTCCCGCCCACTCCATTAAGCCCCGCCCATCCATAAGACCCCACCCCTCCATGAAACCACACCCAGTTGTTAAGCCCCGCCCACCCACCAAGCCCCATCCACCCACCAAGCCCTGCCCACTCAATTAAGCCCCGCCCACCACATGAGTTGGCCACTCCCCCAAACAGACCACGCCCATTCAGCCACATCCTCATGTGGCCACGCCCCTTAACAGGCCCCTCCCCCCATCTGCCCTAGGCCACGCCCTTTTGGTCAAAGACCACGCCCACTCCTTGGCCACGCCCCCTTTCCAGAACCCTCCCGGCAGCTCCTTTTGAAGGCCACGCCCGTTCCTTATGGCCACGCCCCTTTCCCTGACCACGCCCCTTTTCTCAACCTCCCTTCCCCAGACTCCTCCCCTTCAGAGGCCACGCCCCTTTCCCAGCCCCCTCTCCCGCTAAGCCCCGCCCATCAGCAAGACCACGCCCCTTCCAAAGCCACGCCCACCCCCAAAAGCACCCTTTTAAAGCCACACCCTCCTCCAGCTCCGCCCCCTTCCTACAAGCCACGCCCACTACCCAGCCACGCCCCTTCACAAGGTCCATTTTGGGGTCCCAAATCCCAATTTTTGGGTCCCAAATCCCATTTTTTGGCTCCCAAATCCCATTTTTTGGGTCCCAAATCCCATTTTTTCACTCCCAAATCCCACATTTTGGCTCCCAAATCCCATTTTTGTGCCCCCAACCCCATTTTTTGTGTCCCTGACCCCATTTTTTGTGTCCCAAATCCCATTTTTTGGCTCCCAAATCCCATTTTTTGTGCTCCCGACCCCATTTTTTGTGCCCCCAACCCCATTTTTGTGCCCCCAAACACAAAACCCCCATTTTTGTGCCCCCAACCCCATTTTTTGTGCCCCCAACCCCATTTTTTGGGCCCCCAACCCCATTTTTTGGGCCCCCAACCCCATTTTTTGGGTCCCCGACCCCATTTTTTGTGCCCCCAACCCCATTTTTTGTGCCCCTGACCCCATTTTTTGTGCCCCCGACCCCATTTTTTGTGCCCCCGACCCCATTTTTTGTGCCCCCAACCCCATTTTTTGTGTCCCCAACCCCATTTTTTGTGTCCCCAACCCCATTTTTTGTGTCCCCAACCCCATTTTTTGTGCCCCCAACCCCATTTTTTTGCTCCCAAATCCCATTTTTTGGCTCCCCAACCCCATTTTTTGTGCCCCCGACCCCACTTTTTGGCTCCCCAACCCCATTTTTTGTGCCCCCAACCCCATTTTTCGGGTCCCCGACCCCATTTTTTGTGCCCCCGACCCCATTTTTCGTGCCCCCGACCCCGTTTTCGGGGTCCCCGCTGCCGACCTTGGGGCTGTATCCCGGGAAGAGGCGCCGGGCGATGGGGGGGAGCAGCTCCCTGAGGGCCCCCCCGAAAACCAAATCCAGCTCCAGCTGCGCCAGCGGCAGCGCCCGCGAGAACTCCTGGAAAACACCGGGAGGCACCTGGGCACACCTGGGCACACCTGGGAACACCTGGAGGCACCTGGGATACACCTGGGATACACCTGGGCACACCTGGAGGCACCTGGGCACACCTGGGCACACCTGGGCACACCTGGGCACACCTGGGCACACCTGGAGGCACCTGGGTACACCTGGGCACACCTGGAGACACCTGGGCACACCTGGAGGCACCTGGAGGCACCTGGGCACACCTGGGCACACCTGGGCACACCTGGGATACACCTGGAGACACCTGGGCACACCTGGGCACACCTGGGCACACCTGGAGGCACCTGGGATACACCTGGGCACACCTGGAGACACCTGGGCACACCTGGGCACACCTGGAGGCACCTGGGGACACCTGGGATACACCTGGAGGCACCTGGGCACACCTGGGCACACCTGGAGGCACCTGGGCACACCTGGAGGCACCTGGGCACACCTGGGGACACCTGG